AACAGTTTATTTTCCGAACATTGTTTGGATTTCAGTTTCAGTTTTTCAATTCATTTATCTGACTAGTATCGATCGCTCTGCTTGGCCTTAATGAATTGAACATGTTTATGTTGGGATCAGATATCCTGAAATGATTTAAAGCAGTCATGACAGTAAAGCTAGTTATATGTTTAGTAAGTACCCTCAAAGCATGTTTTAAAAGTTAAATTATTTTCGAAAAGTTCGATTCATTTTCAGAAACTCTGATAATTTTAAATGTATAAGTAGAGGGTGCTTACACGCCCCATCCATCTCGAGTGAAACCACGACTTTACAAATTAAGAAGTCCTAAATTTGGTGGCAAGGTTTGATCCATGTTTCGATTACCTTTGGAACTTACGACCTCTTTACGCTGTTAATTTTCAATGATGTTTGGATGATCATTCTATTAGGATCTGGTTGTGACATCAGGCATTTGGGTTTTTGTCGTCTTATGTGTCGTGCATTGTGGACGTATCTTGTGACCTTTTAATTTCTATTAAAGTTTGTTGCCTAAATAGTTTTGAATAAGGACTATTTTGATGGATTGATGTGCAGATAATGGCTTAATTGTGGTACTTATTGACTATCATGGGGAGTGATATAACAACACCTACACAAATTGTCAACTTGGTAGTAAATAATTCCCAAAGATGAAAGTAACACTTAACGAAATTTTGAAAGCCAACATCCATGATAAACGTTAAATAAGAAACTTGCACAAACACACACCCGGTTTTATCTCTGGTTTTCGCCATTGAATTGTAAAGTCAAGAAAAGAGAGGCCAATTGTGAAAATTAGGTTTGTTTTATGAAGATAAAACGTGTTTGCTCAGTTCACTAACCAATTTTTTTTTTTTTTTTTGCTTCGCTATTCATATCGCTTATTTTGAATTTTAGGAATTATAGATATGAAACAAAAAAAAAGTAAGTGTAATTTTTCAAAAGTATTGTTAAAGTACTGAAATTGTACCAAAAAATAATTAGTCATATCACGGGTAGTTTTTCTCAATTTACATCTTAACTATAGTTTTTAAAATTTTATTAAAATGTGTGATAGATACTAAAATACTAAAGAAGGCGTCAAAAAATAATGATTCTCATACATGTTCTAATTTAGTCAACTACTAATCTACATAACAAAATTGTATATTTATGCATTTTTGTACAGGTTATAAACCTACTAAATTATCTGACCATGGAGAAGGATTAATGGCTTCACTTATTTATTCATTTGTGAACTAATATAAAGGTAAAGCCCATCTGAAAATTTTATCAACCACAGAAAATAGATTACTTTTTTGTTTCTCAAATATAATAATATAAAGTACCCGTCGTACTTGAGCACAACACTAAGACAACTCTTTCAATTACAATTTCAAATAAATTTTCCAAACTTCGACCTCCTCAATTTCGATGTTATTACAGTCCTTTATTCTAGGCGCAATCATCATGAATGGCTAAATTGTCGCATCGACCATGCCGCCTATGGACGCCGTGTTCTATGGGTTAACGTGGTGGGTGCAATTTCGATCCACTACCTTGGGCGACAGTATCGTTAGGTAATCTTCATTCCCGTCAAACAGCCATGCTACTTTTGCATCTCTCTCCATAATTTAGTGTTTTTTTCAACAACCTGATGAAAATCAATCATCCCACCTTACCGATTTAAGAAAATTGAACCAAGTACGGATTTAGAAGATTTAGTTGGTAGATCTCTGTACATCTCTCTCCATAATTTACTGTTTTTTTCAACAACCTCATGAAAATCAATCATCGCACCTTACTTACCGGTTTAAAAAAATTGAACCAAGTACGGATTTGAAAGATTTAGTTGGTAGATCTTTGTACTTTGTATTTTCAGATTCCAATCTAAAGTCATTTTTTTCCAAAATTTTTACCTTTTTTTTTATACATTTCTATTCCAAACATTTTTTCTTAATTAACTATATTGGTCCATACTCTTTACTCCCCTCTATAAAAAACTTCAAGTTCGCCCTTCAAATCACCAAGGCCATAGTACACTAAATCTATAACAGTAAATTGTATTACATCTTCTTTGTTATTCTTACACTTTTAATGTATGCACTTACTGCTTAGTTAGATTTTTGGCTTCTTGTCAATGGGTAGTCATATAGTTCGCTTTTGCTGCATTTATGCCTGAGAATGTGTTATTTGCTCTTACACTAACATGGAATCTACGACTTTGTTATAAATACATGAGCAATTAATTTCTATTGAATGCAGGTTCTATTTTAGACCTTAAAGATACTATACATGTCAACATTTTGTATCTTAAATAGTATGCTTTTCCAAGGAATTTCGTTGGTTTTTTTTTTAATGTTTGCACATGGCTCTAGCATGTATATCAACCCAAACATTTACTGATTATGGTCCATACTTTTGGCCAAAAAGCACAGGATATAAATCGATATTTTGTTCCTGCTTCTCAATTTGTATGTTAAATAGCATGCTAATTGCAGATTCTATGTGCCAAGTAATTTGCTAACTTCTTTGGTAAACTACTATGTGTGCAGCAAATTATCTGATAATGACGAAGACATTGACCATCAATCAAGTCCAGCCGCGCATTAGAGGATGGACAGTCGTCATACAAGTCATTGAACGATGTCATATCCTTGTAAGCCAAAAAGACACATCCGTCTCTTACCGCAGGTTCCTTTTCAGTGATGCTGAGGTAATTTTTCGGACTTTATACTTCGCACTTTTAACAACATTTGAGGCTAACTTGAAAATATGTGCTAACTAATTTCGCGGGTTGCCGAAACTAAATTTACTGTTTTTACGACAGGGCACTAATGTTTCAGCTGTTGTTTATAACAATAACATAAGGACCGGTGATAATCTCTCGATCACGTACAAGATATATCGTGTCTCTGGTGCCACTCTGAAGAAAGTTGAGGAAAAATATAGGGTAGGACAATATGACTTTTCCTGGACCATCAACAACAATACCCTCATTCAGCCTTGTGATGACGTTGTCCCAACCCACCTCTATTGCCATATGGACACCGAAAGATTTGCAAACTTGCATCACTATGCAGACTCTGAAAACTTACAGAGTAAGCCTATTAATCTGTTGTAAATATTTGTGTTAAATTTTTGCGCATTATTCATGTTTTTTGATTTAATTGTTCTTTGTTATGTGATTTTTAACGTCCGCTGAGGTACTTTATTATGTGATCAGTTCGTTATTTTTTTCTTGAATCTAAAATTTTTGGATCATGTTTAGTTAAATATCTCATTCTGTGATTCGAAATTGTCAAATTATGTAATGTTATCAAATTTCCATCATATATAACTGTAGGTGTCTGATGCTGTTTAGAAGATATGGAAAATAGCTTGAATGACTTGTTGTGGGATGTACCCCGTATACCTAATATGTGTTATTATGTGAAAATAGTTTCATATGTTTCGTATCTTCCACTTGGAAGTTGCCTTACAATTGTCAAGTCATATAGAAGGCATTTTATTAGAAACATATGAGGTGCTTTATGTGTGGCCTATAATTTAAACACTCGCTTTGGTTTCCTGTGTCTCTTTGTGTTAATTCCTGTGCATCATTGTTATTCTTGCACTACTTTATTATATGTATTAGATTCAGTTAGTATTCTAGGGTGTTACACTTACACAACTAAAAATCAGATTTACCAGGGAGACTTATTTCACTTGATATAATTTAATCCTCTTTTGTTTCTATTTGTGTCAGATCATTGAATTTTCACTCTACATAAACTATTTCTGTTCACCATAAGTTAGGATCTTGGGTACCTTTTGCTGGAATCGCACAACCTTTCTATGCAATTTTCTTCTTTATGGCGCAATCTCATGTAGTTGATAATAGCACCTCTTAATCGCTTATTGTCATCTTCCATTAGTAATTTCACCATGCATTTTGTATACATGTTGTATGCTACAAGAAGTTGTGATTTCCTGTGAATGTGTTTGACAAAATGTAGCATTTATCTACAAATATGATGGGAGGTTTTGTTCATGCATTTGAACCAAAACAAAAGGGTTTTGATTCAGTCATGAGAGACATCGTGATTATGAACACTGAGTGAGTTGTGGTATTGTTTATTCCAGAGGTTAATTTAAATGTAAAGAAAATAGTGTTAATATATATTTGCTAAATATCAGGAACATGCCTATGATTTTCACCTTTTAGAATGAGTTTTCCACAACTAAAGGTGAACAACTAGCCGCTGGTATCAATGCAAGAAACGTAATCATTTCAATGCGTGTTCGGGTGACAACTTTCAATGGTCTATGCGTGTTTGTTTGTTTATTCTTTCATAATATATACTTCGCAACACACTAACCCTAAGGCATTAACTTTGGGCAGGAATCTCGCTCTCCACCAAATCAACAAGTGCAATTCTCATAAATCCACCGACACCCGAGGCAAATGAGCTGAAGCAGTGGTATAATTCAATTGCAGATTAAGAAAATGAAAATCATATAAAGTTGTTGTAACCACATAGTTTGTACATTCTTTTGCATAAGTACATACAAAATAGGTTGGAGATTGACAATCTCGTTACAGCCAAAGCATTCACAGACCCTGCTGCATTGCTTCCAAGGCCACCTGCTGAAAACATCATGAGTATCGAAACTTACTTGAATCTTGCTAACAATGTAAGTGCAGCATATTCAAATAAGTATAGAAAATAGGTGTGGCATACAATTAATGAACACTGATACACCGCATTAGAACCACAAATTCTTATGTACAATAAATCAAAGCTGCTTGGATTCAAGGAAGTATAACTTTGGGACTGGTCAACCAGTCACTTTGGTTTGCCGCTTGCTCAAACTGCCAAAACAAATTCCACCTTGAAGTGGGTTCTGATATGAGGTGCAGCTCGTGCAACCAACAGAGCCAAATTGTAGCAAGGTAATTTTTGGTTCTCAACAACTATATAAATATAATAAAACTACCCAAAGAAATAAAAATGAAATTCCTTAACATCTGATGTTCCAATAGGGCAAGAATTCCAATCTACATTGAAGATGAGACAGACACAATTGCAGCAGTTGTGTATGGGGATGATGCTGAAGAGCTAGCTGGGAGTACTGGTGCTGAATTGAAAGATACTGAAGAAGAGGTGTAGTGTCTTCTTTACTTACACCTTCTATTTGTTTACACAAACTTAGAAAAAAAAAAGAACTTCGCATTGGTCTCATTATTTGAACTCTGTAGCTAATGATATTGTGTCTTGAATTGTTGTTACGTTATGTAACACAAGCCGTCGACGTGCTCGGACCGATTGGCGTGAGAATTAAGAGCCACCATCTTGTTTGTTATGTGAGGTTGTACCAAAGCAATGGGCCAAGCTACACAATCGTGAAGTTGTATATGGATGAAATTGAAGGGCTCTTAAATGAGGATGACATGGATCATGCAGCTGCACAGGTAACACGCATGTTAATGTCTTGATGATTACTCTAACTATAACCTACGAGCCAAAAAAAAAAAAAAAAAACTATTCACTATGTTTGCTCCTGATTACGAACAGAATGAGCATGTGCCTGTCCCCGCGGCCGAGCCTGAGCCTGATATCCAGCTATTTACACCAAGCACCAAGGCATGTCTGGAAGAAATTGCAAGTGTCATGTTGTAAATATTTTTACCGGAGTTAAATCAAAAGATTCAACACCGGGTCGTATCACAAGGAAGGTTAGCCGGATTATTTGTACGGATATTCAATCACAAGAAAAGAGAAAAGAATTTCCTAAACACTCTAATTCGAATTGGGGTTTTTGATTATCAACTACGAATAATAAGAACGAAACTAGCTATTTCAAATTCGCAATTCGAAGTTTAAATTCAAATGATGATAAAAGGGGCTAGGGTATCGGGGATATCATTTCTGGTTCTCAAAACAATTTACGAACAATTAATTACTTGACTAAAGGACTCAAAAACTAACTCATCTAGAGGTTCATTCTCAATATCTCACGAAACAAGAGAATAAACGTAAACAAATCAATAACGAATCAATTAGCATATAGACAATACATTACCGAACAAGTCTATTCTTAACGAGCCTAGGTCGAACGATTTCTCCCCTTTCGGTTTCAAAATCGATTGATTAGATTAAGATGGTGATCAAGCATCTAAACCCTAGGTTAAGCACAACTCGAAAAGATTGAGCAATTAATCATACACATAAACGAAATTGAACCGGAACGATTATCCCTTAACCGTAGCTATTGAATTAGCTACTCATGACTATTCCAACATAAACATTCATATCAACCCAAGAAATCATCATCACACACAAATGAGAAGAAGTTCTTACGATTAATATAAATCCAATGTCGAGAAAGCCACGAGAAATCCAAATCCAAAAGCTAGAAAAGGAGTTTTTACTCTCCACAATTCAATCCAAGCTAAAACCAAGTGAAAGATATGTTCTAGAGATGAAAAAATATGAAAAATGAAGTCTCCCCCCTCCAACATCCGTCCAAAATTCGTTTATTAAACCCTGCCATTCGAAATTCCAAGAAAACAGCTGCTGTTACAAAACGGGGGATAGCGGCGCTATGGGGTTAGCGCCGCTATGGTCGAAATTCCTCGAGCTGCAGCCCATCGCTTCAAAACGTAGCGCCGCTTTCTCAACAGGCCATAGCAGCGCTAAGGGCATAGCGGCGCTATGGCCTAGACTGCTCCAAAAATTCGTCGACTTGGGCTCACGTGGTCTCGGCTAGCGTCCCTCGGGTCTATCTCGAGCTAGAAACTTAATCCATGAATGCTCCAGTCTCACAAACCGACGCAGAACTCCTGGGAACCTGAAAACACCATCATCGAACACACACAAAAGCAAGAGAAAATAGAAGAAATAACAACGAAAAAGCTAAACACAACGAAAAATAATAAAAACTCGAGAATGACTAAAAAGGACCGAAAAATCCTAACAAAAGACCTAAAACGGGGGATAACAACACACAAATTAGCAATGAAAATAGCAACAAAAACGGGACAAACAACTCCCCCACACTAAGACCTTTGTTCGTCCCGAACAAAGAAAAGAAAAGAAAAAAAAAAGAAACAATTGAGCATGGACACAGTTTCAAGCAAGACTAATCTCAAACCAGTCAATCATGTCGAGTAGAATCCCAATGATCACCAGCGCACACCTCAACTAGTAACTCGGTTATTTCTAAAGACAAAGACTCTCAAGCATGAAAATATATCATATGCCTCACTCGGTTCTTTTGAAGATATAAGACAGGTACGCTCAAGTTGGCCATCAATCCAACCAATCATAAGTTTTCCTATTGTCTAACTTTTACTCTAAAACAATCAAGTTCATGAAACAATGAATCAAGAGAAATTTTAGGGATGTAATGTAGGCTCTTTGGATCGGGTAGGATACATATAGGTTAAGTGGCTCATATAAAAACACATTTAACTCAATTCCATCACCAAACCGTAGTCATGCACTCTTCCGGTTGTCGAATACCAACCGGTTCCTCCCTACTACTCCAAAACCGACACACTTCCCAAACAAATTATTATTATTATTATTATTTTTTGCGAGAACCATTTGGACATTTTATCTAGGTTTAACCTTCGAGTTTTCTGCTCAAGTTTCCTAGACCGGTTTCCCGTACTCATGGCTCGTATCCGCTAAATTAGTGGACCGAGCGCTAGGAGTATAATCCATTTGGCTCCCCTTTTTCTCTTTTATTTTTATTTTTATTTTTTTATTTTATTTTTTAATATCAAAATCAAATGAACATATTCACAGTTCAATCAACCAACACCTCCAACTCTCAACCCACAACTCAATATCATCATCATGGGGCTAACAATAAAATCATATCAGGCTCAAATGGGGGTGACTAGTGACTGTTATTCATAGAAAAGAGAAGGAGAAGAAATACAAGGAATGCCTCAATCATTTTCACGTTTTACAAATCTAATCACTTCATCTCAAAGTAGACTCAAGGCAAACTCTGACTGAATAAATTTCTGACCAACATCTCACAAGAACGAGTAGGCTCAAACCTCACAAGGTATATAAAGTCAATCAAAATAACCAAGTCATTTGTCAAGATATGCCACCAATTCTCATCATCACAACCACTCAACTCAACTGACAGTCATTAATCAACCTTACAATTCACCATAGTCCAAGCTCAGAAAGACAAAACAAAAGAAATCCTAAAAACTAGAACGGTCCACCAAGCAAGAGAAAAAAAAATAAAAACAAACCTAAAAAGAAAACTAGACATGGTCCACCACATAGTCACGTAAACACGTAAAACTCCCCCACACTTAAAATCAGACAATGTCCCCATTGTCGATTCGCAGTGAATGAAAGTTTGACCATATAATAAACCAACTCGAAATCAAAGAAGTTATACAAAAATAAAAGAGAAAGAGAAAGAAAAACATACAAAGCACAGTGACAAGTCACTGTGCGTCCGGTGGTGGCGGTGGTGGAAATTGGTATCGCTGTGCCTTCCAGGTGTCCCATCAGGCGTCGTGGGCAGTCCAATGCGCCTCGTTGCCTTGCTTGAACTCGTTCCACTCCCTTTGCTGCTCCGCCCAACGCTCGTCATTGGTCGCCAAGAAGGACTTCCAATGGGCCGCATTCTGCTCCGTGTAGGCCGTCCAACGCGCATCATGGTGCTCTATGTATGACTCGAGCCGCACATTGTGCGACGACACCGTGGAGTGGATGGCCCAATACTGCTCGTCATTCCAGGCCTAGTTCTCATCATACCGAGCCTGGAACGTGGAGAACCAAGCGGGAGCCTGCTGTGAAAATGTGCTCGGGTGCCCGTCCATCGACGGAGGGGGCTGATAAGTATCGTGCTCGGGGTGTGCGTCGGCCTCTGAGTCTGCATCGTCTCTGTCATTAGAGGCCACTATTGCAGGTTCGGCCGACGTGCCGGCTGCTGACTGATCCTCGGGTAAAGGTATGCCCACTTCCTTACAATAGGCTTTATAGCAATCTCGCTCGCGGACGGGAATAACAGCGCCGCCGGGCTTAAGGAAATGCCCATGATAGAGCTCCCGGTGAGAAATCGTGCGAGAATGGATCTTTGGCTCGTCAATGTCAATCCCAAAGTGCTCGGCAATCTTGCATACGACATGCCCCAATGTCGGCCCACGCCTAGGGTCGTTTCGAACATCGAAAAGGGACTCCTTAAGATACTGCAGCATACTAACAGACTTGTCCCTCGAAATCGATCCAAGGATGAATACTTGTTTCTCACTTACTTTATTTGACTCCTTCTTGCCGACTATCATATGGGAGATGTACTTGTGGATCACGACATGAGCCACATTAGAGAGTAAGCCCGAAGAAGCCCCAGCTCGCTTGAATTTCTCGCACGGAGAGATGGTCGGCCAGATGGGTCGGCTTTCCATCCCATGGAACTGTGACGTGTCCCGATGGAGGTTTTGAACTTGTAAATATCCCGGAGCACTTTGTCGGTGACCTTGTACTCTTGCCCCTTTAGCCGAGCGGTGAGGTACTTGCCATTGTCGTGCATGACCACTGTGCTAAAGAACTCGAGGGTCAAGTTCCGGTAAGCATATTGCTCCATGTCTTCGAACTCTACGAGGTCGAGTAGTGTAATGTATCGGCTGAGATCGTCCTCAATGCCCAAAGTCTCGAAGTAATCCCAGTCGAGGGTGCGTGGTGCCGCTAATGGTTTGCCGACGAGCCGTTGGTATGCCGTGACCTCCTCCATTGATTGGACGTCGAAAGGGACCCCGTGTTGTTGGGCTAGGGACCGTCCTTAGTTGGTGGTTCGGGATTGGAGCTCGTGGATGCCGCCGCTCGGGAAGTGGACGCTGCGGGAGCCTTTTCCTTCGAAGCCCCGGTTGTTTTAACCATGATTGTTGGTTCAGGAAATTCGTCGAACACGTGGTGTGCGGGGTTGGAGGTGAAGATGCTTTGAACAATTTGGGATGATTCGAGCCTGGAGTAGGCCTCCTCACGCCTCAACGATCAACGACGTGCAATGAGGGAAAGCTATCGGTACCTTTTGAAGTGAATTTCGAATGGAATTGATCAATGCGCCACGAGCTAGGGTTAGAGAGGCTACGGTGTGTCTGAATTCGAGAGTGAAACCCTCCAGAGAGAGGTCG